TGGGAGCAATGCCCAGCAACAAATGTTGTCCCAAACCAACAGCGGCCGCTGTTGGGCAGGCGGCCTCCTGTCTCGAATGGACACAGGCCGCGGCGGCGTGGACAGCGAGTCCTGTTCAAAATGAACAGGATCTGCTGTTGGGCATTGTACCCATTCTTTCAGTACCCATTTCGCGCGTGCAGAAACATCGAGGAAACACACGGCTCGCACGACTGGCTACCGAAGGGGCCCCTCCCGGCGTCCTGCCGTTCGGGCTGTGGGGGAGCAGCGCGTAGCCGGCCATGATGGGCGGCGCGCGCGGGGCGAAGAGGGAAGAGGAGGCCTTCCCATCGGCGGCGCGCCGACATGGATTGGCGATCCATGGATTTGGCGCGCGGTCGCCTACTCCATGAATCGGGGGAGGTGGCCTTCCCATCGGCGGCGCGCCGACATGCATTGGCGAGCCATGGACTTGGCGCGCGGTCGCCTGAGTCATGGATCGGGGGAGGTGCCCTCCCCAAAATGCGGCCGGTGGCGCCTCGCTCCGCGGCGGAGATCCGCGATCTCCCTGGGAAACGGGGCCCGTCGCTCATCCACGCCCCCTTGCTCCGTGTTTCCTCCTCCTCCTCCTCCTCCTCCTCCTCCTCCTCCTCCTCCTCCTCCTCCTCCTCCTCCTCCTCCCCCTCCGTCCTCGTTCTCCTCCTCCTCCTCCTCCTCCTCCCGAGGGAGGGCGGCGGATCGCGGGGAGGTGCCCTCCCCACAAATGCGGCCGCGGGCGCCTCGCTCGGCGGCGGGACTCCGCGGCCTCCCCCCTATGGAAGCGGGGCCCGCCGCTCGTCCACGCCCCCCTGGACTCCTGTTTGCGATCGCCCGAGGGAGGAGGAGGAGGAGGAGGAGGAGGAGGAGGAGGAGGAGGAGGAGGAGGAGGAGGAGGAGGAGGAGGAGGAGGACCCGTCGCTCATCCACGCCCCCTTGCTCCGTGGTTGCGATCGCCCGAGGGAGGAGGAGGAGGAGGAGGAGGAGGACCCGTCGCTCAGCCATCGCGATCACCCCATGGAAACGGGGCCCGGCGCTCATCCGCTCATCCGCGCCCCCCCTGGACCCATGTCTGCGATGGCCCGAGGGAGGGCGGCGGCGCTGCTCCCTCTACAGGGGGAATATTCAAAAAAAGTCAAAACATAGTCTGGGGGCTATGTTGTGGGTATTTGTTGACCCTGTTGGGAATATGTTTGGGGTATGTTTTAAATGTCCCGTCGAGTTTGTCTTGATTTTTAGGACTGTGTTGTGGGCATTGTTTGACCCTTTGGGGATTCTGTGTTGAGTATCTCGAATTGCTCGTCGAAAAAATCCGCCGACCCTGTCGGCGTGTGTGAGGGGCTTTTCCGTTCGAGCCGTCATCTCCGTTATTCTTTGCACTCGTCGTCTCTGTCCTTCCCTTTCCCTGGGACTCCTCTTCCCCTGGGCTCCAGCCAAGCCGACCTTGAGCAACGTCGTAATTGAGTCGAAGGGAAGCCCCTTCCCTTTGATCCCTCCCCCGCCGGAGGGGGGGGGGGTAGCGACCCCCCCCCCGGGTCAGATACGACGCCCCCCCCCGTACCGACCTTGAGCAACGTCGTAATTGAGTCGAAGGGAAGCCCCTTCCCTTTGATCCCTCCCCCGCCGGGAGGGGGGGGGGGTAGCGACCCCCCCCCGGGTCAGATACGACGCCCCCCCCCCGTACCGACCTTGAGCAACGTCGTAATTGAGTCGAAGGGAAGCCCCTTCCCTTTCCCTTCCCCGACGGGGGGGGGAGGGGGGTAGCGACCCCCCCCCCGGCCGGGTCAGATACGACGCCCCCCCCCGTACCGACCTTGAGCAACGTCGTAATTCAGTCGAAGGGAAGCCCCTTCCCTTTGATCCCTTCCCCGCCGGGAGGGGGGGGGGGTAGCGGGGGGGGGTAGCGACCCCCCCCCCGGGTCAGATACGACGCCCCCTCCCCGTACCGACCTTGAGCAACGTCGTAATTGAGTCGAAGGGAAGCCCCTTCCCTTTTGATTCCTTCCCGCCGGGAGGAGGGGGTGGGTAGCGGGGAGGGCGGCGACGCGAGGGCAGCGCGACCCCCCCCCCCCCCGGGTCAGATACGACGCCCCCCCCCGTACCGACCTTGAGCAACGTCGTAATTGAGTCGAAGGGAAGCCCCTTCCCTTTCCCTTCCCCGACGGGGGGGGAGGGGGGGTCCCGGGGGGGGTCCCAGGGGAGTCCCGGGGAAGTCCCGGGTCAGATACGACACCTCCCTCCCCCACCTGCTCGTCCTTCTCCCCGTTCCCCAAAACCCTCCCACAGCCCGTGCCTCTTGCTGCGCATTGCGAACAGGGTCGGCGGCACCGGCCGTAAGGCCTTCGCAATCCCCCTGTATCGGCGGTGGCTAAGCCTCCCTTTAGCAAACCTCCCCTTAGTGAAAAAAACCTGGGACCGAAACCGACGGACCTGGACCCGCAAAGATGACGGCCGCGACGCCCTCTCGCGAACCGAAAACGGCCAATTCCTTAATCGAAGTGTCAGGGTAGGAGTTCTGTCAACCTCCGAGGCAGGACGTGAGCGCACAAGCACAGGCAAACCTGGCAGGAACCTCTTGCTGGGACCCTGCCGGCAACCTGTGACCAAGCTCAGAGCATAGGGCAACCGATGGCGGGGCCCTGTGGGCGGCAGTGCCCTGGCGGGTCCCCGTTGCCAACTGCGGCCAAGCACGGGCGCTGCCACCTGCAACCTGGACCTTTCGGTTGAAGCCAAGGTGTGGTCTGTCCACCCCCGGCTGCAGGGGCACACGCCCGACTGCAGGCCCAGGCGCGCGCCCCCTCCGCGGCGCCGCCTCCTCGAGGCCTGCGCGCCGAGCCCGCCGCTCGCGCCGGCGGCCTGCCGCTCCGTCCGCCCCGCGGCCTGCCGGTTGGTCCCCCCCGCGGCGCGCCGCCGCGCGCCCGCGCACGGCGGGCCTCGCGAGGGCCTCCGGGCGCCGAGGCGCGCCTCGAGCCCAAGATTGGCGCCGCTCCTCCTCCTCCTCCTTTCCCCCTCCTCCTCCTTTCCTCCTCCTCCTCCTCCTCCTCCTCCTCCTCCTCCTCCTCCTCTTCCTCCTCCTCCTCCAAGGGGGGGGGGGGGCGAGGCCCAGAGACGCAGCGGAGCGGAACACAAATAATCAAGGCGAAAATTTGTGTCGCCGTTTCCGGCTCTCTGCTCTGGAGGCCCTCGCCGGGCCCCGGCACTGTCAACAAAACGGCTTGGGATGCAACGAACGGGTCCTTGGGGATGGGTCGCAACTTCCTTGGGCACCGTTTGGAAAACAAATCACGACATCGGATCTCTGGAGGAAGGGGGGAGGGGAAAGGAGGGGGGAGTTGTGACGCGGAGCGAGGGGGGAGTGCTGAGGATCAGGGAGGAGGGGGGTGGCATGAGGGACCAGAGGGGGACACGTGGGGAGGGGGAGTCGGAACACACACACACATGTGTGTGTGTGTCTGGGAGGGGGCAGGAATGGGCCGTATAAATCTGGCAATCGGCATCATGTCCAAGCGGTGAGACCTTCATCGTAATCATCGGCATCGGCATCGACATAGTCGTAATCGACATAGGCATCTGCATCGGCATCGGCATCGACATTGGCATCATCATCATCATCATCATCATCATCATCATCATCATCATCATCATCATCATCATTATCATCATCATCACCATCATCATCATCATCGTCACTATCAGTATCGTCATCATCACCATCATCATCATAATCATCATCCTAATGCTGAGCATCAGCATCATGATCATCATCAGCAGCATTATCTTCATCCTCATCGGAATCATCAGCATAATCCTCAGCATAGTCATTAGCATCAGCATTACGATCATGATCAATATGACCATCAGCAGCATCATCATGAATATCATCGTCACCATCGTGATCATCGTCGTCGTCATCATCATCACCATCAACTTCCTCAACCTATCACCATCAACAACATAATTAGCATCGCCATCCTCAACACAATCATCTCAACCATACTGTCTGCATCATCATCTGTCTTCCGTCATCGTCATCCGCACCAGCATCCCCGACAGCATCATCACCAGCAGCTTCATCAGTCTCATCATTTTCATCATATACATGCTTCTCATCATCAATACAACAGTCGATCGCATCATCACTATCATCATCAGCAGCATCACCACATTGATCTCGACCAGCATCTTCATCTCCATCATTCGAATCATGCTCAGCAGCATCATCATCATAATCATCATCAGCATCATCAGTATCATCATCATCATCATCATCATCATCATCATGTTGATCAGTATCAGGATCAGCATAATCAGATTCAGCATTATCGTCAGCATCGTATTCAGCATCCTAACCGTCGCCATCAACATCAGCATCATCATCAGCAACAGCATCAGCATAAGCATCATATGTATGTTCATGTCCATCTCCAACATCGTAACCCGCATCAGCAACAGCATCAACAGCATCAGCATCAGCATCATACTCATCATCGTAACCAATATCATCATCATATTAGAATGCTCACCATTGTCATAGTCACCATCATAGTCCGTAATCATCATCATCACGATGTCCATAGTCACCATCATCTTTATCGTTGTCATCACCATCTGCATCATCATCGTCTTCATCATCATACTCCGCATCACCACCACCATAACAAGCATCACCTTACTTATCGTCATCAGCATCACTTACACAATCGCAATCACCATCACCATCACCATCTGCAACCTCGTCGTCGCCACATTCACACCAACATCATATCAACGTTCTACTCGTAGCACCGTCATGATGATCGTCATCATCTTCAGCATCGTCACCACCGTCGCCATCATCATCACCATACTTACCATCCTCTGCATCACCATCACCACCATCACCACCATCACCACCACCCTCACCACCACCCTCACCCCTACCCTACCATCACCACCAGTCCCCCTCATCTGTCCCACCAACGTGTGCTCTCCGACGCCCAGCCGACCTGGATACTCACGATGGAGACCGTCTCCGCGGAGAACTCCCAGGCCAGCCCCTTGAAGTAGACCAGCGCGAGGAAGATGCCCAGGCAGAAGGTGTTGTTCATGATGGCCGCCCCCTCCAGCTGCACCTGGGGGACCACGAAGAGTGGCGCGCGTGCGCACGACGCCGACACAAGCCACGGCGGGCTCGATCCTCTCGGGGGCCCCGTGGGCGACCAGCAGGCAGAACCCAGGCAGAAAAAAGAGGGGCCAAGGAGGGGGGGCAGCCCGGGGCGATACGTCGCCGATCTGGAGAAGGAGGCGGAGGAGGAGGAGGGGGAGGTAAGAGGAGGAGGAACAGGAGGAGGAGGAGGAGGAGCAGGAGGAGGAGGAGGAAGAAGAAGAAGACGAATAATAATAATAATAATAATAATAATAATAATAATAATAATAAATACGATTCATATGAATAATAAGAAGAAGACGACGAATAAGAACAATAAGACGAATAAGAAGGAGCAGGAGGCAAAGGCGGAGGAGGAGGAGGAGGAGGAGCAGGAGGAGGAGGAGGAGGGGAGGAGCAGGAGGAGGAGGAGGAGGAGGTGGGGATCGACCGGCCGAGCCCGGCAGCCAGGACCAACTTCGAGCGCGGGGGCCCGGGGGCTTCGCGTCCCGGGCAGGCACCAGCCAAGAACGCCCAGTGCCCAGGGCAGGGCATGGCGGCACCCTGCGGGCAGTCTTGGACGCCCGAGTTATCCGGGGTAACTCGGGTCCGGGGTAACTCGGGTTTGGGTTCCCGAAAAACGAACCCGAGTTATCCCTGACCCGAGTTACCCCTGATGATTCGGGGCTCTGACAGTCGGCGGTGGACAAGCCTCCCCCATTGGTGAACCTCCCCTTCGTGAAAACGACGTGGGACCGAAACCGACGGACCTGGACCCGCAAGCATGACGGCCGCGACGCCCTCTCGCGAACCGAGAACGGCCAATTCCTGAATCGACGTGTCCGGGTAGGAGGTCTATCAACCTCCGAGGCAGGACGTGAGCGGACAAGCAAAGGCAAACCTGGCAGGAGCCTCTAGGTGGGACCCTGCCGGCAACCTGTGACCAAGCTCAAAGCACAGGGCAACCAATGGCGGGGCCCTGTGGGCGGCAGTACCCTGGCGGGTCCCTGTTGCCAACTGCGGCCAAGCACGGGCGCTGCAACCTGCAACCTAGATCTTTCAGTTAAAGCCAAGGTGTGGGAACACATTGCATTTCGACCGTCCATCGGCCTTGAGCGCCACATATTATGTGGAAGCCTGCGTCGGGATCAACACTATACGATGGAGGCAGCAGCCGTCCTAGTGCCCGCATTTCGACAGCTGATGCTCTATCCAACTTGATATTTCAACTGGGGATGGGAGGAGGTAAGAAAAATAACTAATGCATCCTCCTTGTTCTTCAAGCCATCCTCCTCATCCGCCTCGGGATCCTCCTCTTCCTCCCCCTCCTCCTCACGCTCAAAACTGGTCTCTGGGATCCTCCTGGGATCCCTCCAAACCGCATGTTCATCCCGATCTAGTTTGACTGGCCCAGGTTCCGAAACGGGTTCCTAGAGGTAGAAAGAAAAGAAAAAACATCTAAGGCGATGTTCGTGGGTCCTCGTCCGCCAACTCGTCCACCTCTGGACAACCAGGAAATCCCCTACCTCTACAAATAAGATGTCTGAAACAACCGCAGATGTTCAGAATTTGCAAGACGTCCGCAACCAAGAGAGCCCCAACCGGGGTGTCCAATTTCCCAGCGCCGATTGGACCCCCACATCCAGGATTCGTAAGTGAGCAGACGCGGATCCCCTCGAGTCGGACCTAAGGTGGGGATAGCAAAGGAGTGTTAGCGAATCAACTCATGTAGCTGGTTTCTCTGGCGACTGCCGACGCCAAAGAAAAATACAGAGAAAGGCGCCTGGCGGCGGAGCAGAAGCCATCTGCATTCAGCAGATTCCCCCCCTCCCTTTCACGGCTGCTTTGAAACCCAGATTTCCCCGCCGCGGCGCCAGCGACGTCCCGATGGACTTCACGGTCCTTGGGGTGGCCACATCCACTAGGACCGGGGCGTGGGGGACGAAGGTGAGTGGAGAAAGACAAGAGGGGGCGAGGTTCAAGGGTCGAGGATTGGGGGATGCGTGTCCTTCGCTTCCTCTTTCGGGGCCTCCGGGAGCCTCAAGGGCACCTGGAGACCTCCAGGAGCCCAAGGAGGGGGGGGAGGAAAAGGATAGGGAGGAGGAAGTTTGCAGTCGGCAACAGAAATGAGGATGCAGTGGGAGGGTGCGAGGGCAGAGGCTGGGTGGAGCAGGCAGAGAATGGCCTAGCAGGCAGGGATAGGCCGAACAGGTGAGCATACAAGCGAAGCCTTGCCCAAGCACTGCGTCCTTCACTAGTGCGGCTGCCTGCAGAATGGAAGGGTGGGAGGAGGCTCCTCCCCCCCTCATCACCATCCTCCTTCATCACTCTCCCTCCCTCTGCATCCAGGCGCCATCCAGGGGTCTCCTGAGGCCAGATAAACAGTGTACAAAACAATGCGACAGACCTCGATACTCCTCTGCTTCACTCCTCCTTTCCCTCAATCTTCCTTCCTCCTGGCCTCGGCTTCCCAGCCCCGCCCTAGACCAGGATCCGCCTTGGCTGTGCGGCGGGGGTTTACCCATGATCGTTGCCTGCGGGATCGATCCTCAGGGACCTCGGCAGGCGGTGGATGTTGATATGTGTTTGCTCCCCTGGGCCCGAACACGTGCACGTCCACCGCCTGCCAAAGCACCCGGAGATCGATCCCGCAGGCGGTAGTTATGGATACTCCAGATTTCGTAATAAAGGGAGGGGGTCTCATTTCGGGGGGGGTCTCTTCCAGGCTATCTTGGAGGGCCTGGGGGTCTGGGGACGATGTTTTGGAGGGTTCTCCCACGGGGGGGGGTCTGAAATGGCTCGTCTTGGGGGGTCCAGACCCCCTCCCTTTTAGCACGAAATCTGGAGTAGGAGTACATCCCCGCTTCGGGCTCGGGAAGCCGAATCATGCCGATACCGCGACGCACTCTCCAGACCTCTCCCGGGGGCGCCTCCAAAGGAGGAGGAGGAGGAGGGGGAGGAGGAGGAGGAGGAAAAAGAGGAGGACGAGGAGGAGGAGGAGCAGGAGGAGGAGGAGGAGGAGGAAGATAGAGGAGGTGGCAAAAGTACCGCCTCCAGACCAGGGTGTCGAGGCGAGTCCCAGCCGGGGCGACGAAGGCCTCCGAAGCGGCGGAGGCCATCGAAGACGAGGCATCGCTGCATCGGCAGCAGAGCCTCTCCTCCTCTGGGAATCGGCGCGCCTCGGGCCCGCGGCGCAGAACTGAAGGGGCCCTGGGACACACGCAAATACATGCACACAAATAGAAGGCCTCCCCATTGGTTCCTCTATGTTTATCTGGCGTTCTGCCCCCCCCCCCCCCACACTGCCAGTTTTTTCCTGCATTTTCGGGGGAATCGACGATTCATTGCGTCTGTGTGGTTTTTCTCCTCCTGCTCTGCTTCCGCTGGAACGGGGGGGCAGGAGGAGGAGGAGGACTTATTTTTTCCCCCGCGCGGGCGAGCATCGATATTCCATCCAGGTCCGTGCGCAGTGAGCAGCTGCAGCGCGGCGGCGGGCAAAGCCCGCCACAATCCATATCCGCGCAGGGGGGGGGGGCAGCGGCAGCAGAGGAGCAGCGAAGGGGAAAGAAAGGACAGGGTACTGGATGCCCGTGCACAACGGGTGGCCGATCTTCGCCCACCCGTGGGAGGTACCGGGGTACCTCGCGCGCGGGGCGGGGCGGGGCAGCACCGCCCGCTTCCGATCCTTCCGAACGAGAGTCCTCGGCAGCGGGGGGGGGCGCACTCGGCGACGGGGGGGCCATGCCCCACAAGCCTCGGGCGCTTGCTACCCAGGCCACCGTCACCACGACCCACAACCCAGGCACTAAACACGCCTAGACAAAATCGAGAGGCAGGCGCCCTACCTCCTAGAGAGGCGCAACGGGCACAGTTGGTCAGGCCGTCAACGGGGCGGGCGGCGGGGGCGGCAGGGAGCGGCGGGGCGGTTGCACGCACGCCCCTGCGCGCGCACCCCCAGCCAGGCGGGGGCCCAACCCCGGCAGCGCCAGCGCGCGCACGGAGGAGCAAGCAGCAGGAGGACCGGGGGGGCGGGCCGGGAGAAAGGCAGGGGAAAGAGGGGAAGGCAGGGGCGGGAAACAACCGAGGACCCAACAACGCCCACCCCGCAGGGGAGGGGCAGCGGCAGAGGCAGGGAGACGGAAGACAGCAAGCGACAGGAGAGGCAAGGGAACACAGAGACAAGCACCAGAGCACACGCGCGAGAGGTGAGAGGGGGCGGTCACACTCAGACGACATCACTTCACGAGGCAGCCCACCCAATACACTGTGCCCAGAACTGCCGTGCCACAATCAAATCACGCATGGCGTCAAGGATCTGCTCGGTGTCCCTCTTTCCCAGCGCGCATGCACTGGGCTCCAGTGCACAACGGGAGGCCGATCTTCGTTCGCCCGTGAGATACCGAGGTAGACTCCGACGACGCCCCTTCACGTGGCAGCCCGCGCAATGCGCCGTGCCCTGAGCTGTCGTGCAACACCAGTATACCGACGAGCCAGAAGACGCAATCGGGCCACGAAAACCTGGGACGAGGGGACCTGTGTCAAGCGTCGATGATGGGCTTGTGTCTTAAGAAATGCATCGGTGAAGGCAGCGCAATCAACATCGCGGTCGAGCCCCCAGGAAGGTCCCATCAGACATAGACAGGTCAGCCAGGTGTCTCGGTGCTGCCACATCTCCCTCCACGGCGCGGGTAAAACTTCCAACCCAGGGAGACGGTGCAGTGCAAGGTCACGGAATCGATCGCAGATTTTATAGTGGCGAAGGTCATCGGGGGCCACGCACCCAAAGCAGCACCCGCGGTCATTCGCATGAGACCGCGCCGAAGTACAAACGCCCCTGGACAGTGCACGGAGAACGTTGGTAGCCAGATAAGTGCACGCGGCACGCTCCACTGCGCGCAATCTTGTCCGCAGACGGAACAGATCCTCGAGAGATGCAGCAACTAACCACCTCGATATCCGTGCACTCAGACACAACAAGGGAGTGGCAGCCATACGAACCAACCGTAAGTGCCTATGGACCTTGGCCTGGAAAAGACGGGCAGTTCGATCAATGGGAGAGTTCGCGAGGTCCGCAGCATCCTCATTCGTCATGCGTATCATCGAATGGCACCACCACCCAGGGAACATACGGGCAGGAATAAATTCATAATCAGCCACGCCACAAGATAAGCCATCTAACTCATAAAACGCATCATCTAATGCCTTGCACCGCATTATCACCCGAAATCTCGTAGCTTTATCAGGCAGTCCCAGGTCCACGAATTCAAATGAGATCCCAAGGTCACGTAACTGGGCGAGCATAGTGTAGTTCAAGGCGTGCCGAGGCCCCGCTGTTAGTATCTGCAATGCTTCCCTATACTGACGCCGAACCCCTGGGGCGACCCTCACCAGTTGAACCCGATACTGCAAGACTGAGAGGCAATTAGAGTGGAACAGGCGGATGGTGGTCGCCAAGCCCAGCGAGAGAGAGCGAAGAAGACGAACTCGCTGCCAGAACTTATTCATCGTTTCCACCCACGCCACCTCATGGGCCAATGGGACCACCCAGAATCCGAGGTACAAAACTCTGGTGGCGAAACGAACTGAGGCGAAACGGCTGCCTTTCCGAGTCATGTGAGCAGCGAGGGCATCTCCACTCAACGTCCTGCAAATCAGGACGCAGCATTTCCCTACATTCAATGAGAGACCAACCGCGGAAGAGAGAAAGTCGAGGAGCAGCAAGGAGGGCATGAGATCGATGAGAATGCCACATAGACCAAAGCAGCAGTCACCAGCGCACGCCAATTGGACACCTACCCGTTCGACACGGCGGGCACGGATCCAACGCAGCACGGGGTCCAGGGCCAGTGCGAAGAGGGTCATAGACGCAGGACCCCCCTGCCGCGCACCTCGTTCCACAAGGGAAACAGTTCCGGCAGCGCCCTCAAAGCAAACCAGGGCCGCGTTGTTGGCGTATAGGGCTTTGAAGAAGCCCGCGGTCTCACTGGGTGCCCCCATGGCCACCAAAACGGCAAAAATCCACTCAACCAGGGTCGAAGGGAACGCCGCCTTGAAGTCGGCAAACAAGACCCCCGCCTTATCTCTCCCACACATGTGTTGGATAAGGCTACATTTTTTCTACTTCCACGACATTGTCTAGTATGTTACGCCCACGGACCCCACCACGCTGGGGGACATCCACCGTCTCAGGGGCGACGTCGTTGAGCCCCAAACAGAAGGCATCGGAGAGTATCTTCGCATCCGTAGTCGCCAGGGAGGGCGGGCGGGTGGAGGCAGGTGCACGGGAGACACAGCCGCTGCGATCCCTGGGGTCGTTGCCCTTCGGGGGGAACACCATGCGACTAACCCGACGCTCAGAGGGGAGAGCCCCTCCTGCACTGTTGAAAACCTCCTCGTAAACCTCGAATAAAGCATCGGTCGCCTCAGGGACCTTCCAGCACCCATACGGGATCCCGTCAGGGCCAGGAGCAGAATGAAACGTATGGCCGACACGGCCCCGAAACTCATCCGCGTCAAGTTGCCACCGTGGGGCAGTAGTACAGCCGCCAATAGTCTGAACATGAGTCAGTATTTCTTCCCAACGCGTCGGGTCGTAATCAGCCCGTGCAAAGACCTTGCTCCAATGGGCAACCAGTGCCGCAGAAGCCGCTTCTGGGGAGGTGCGCGGGGCCCCGCTCTCGTCCAGAACGCCTAGCAGTCCAGTCCTCCTCCTCATGGGATCCCACCCACGCCTAGGAGCAACCAGCCGCCGCCTCTTTTTGGTCCTGACTTCCTCCACTTGGTTATTATGATCCACCTCATCCAATCCCGCATCAAACCAGCGTCCCTTCAAGGTCAGTACCAAACTGGGGAGGCCATCAGGATCAGTGCACACCCCGCCGTCGACGTCGAAGAAAGGCAGG